GTTACATACATTTAATTTATTCTCTTATTCTCTAATATAAACTCAGTAACGGGATAGCAGGTATCTGGTATGAACTGAGTATATTTTACATTTAGTTTAGCACATTTTATTTTTCTGTACCTTTATACACTAAGTTTTCAAGGAAGTCACAGAAGAAACAGTCAAATGCTGTGATCCGGGTTCCTGCACATCCCCCAATACATTTATTGATGTGTATTATTTATTGTTTAGCTCTCTGGTGTGTGCATTGGGTCCTCTCTCTTGTGAATCATTGAACTGATTGTCCTCAGTATAAACCAAAGGTGTCAAATTCATTCCATCTAATGTAGAGCACATTTCACGTTGAGTGGGTCGGACTGGTAAAGCTGTCGATTCAGTTTATTTCAAATACACGGAGGCATTTAAGCTGCCGGTACGTGTATGAACCACTCAGCACATTAACCGTGCGTCCGTCTGTGAGCCCCACTGCCCCCTGCTGGGCGGCAGGTGAATCGCACACAGGGATCCATACCTAAACACAGTTGTGTTTGGTTCATTTCAGCCCACTACTCATTATGATCACAGCACCGTGTTTCGCGTGAACAGCTCACTCGCCCATTTCATTGGTGCCCGCTGGAAGCTGGGATGGGCACCATTCTGCAGGAGCAAGTGGCACAGCGGTGTGCCGAGAGGCTGTCCAGCAGGGAGAGGAAATGGAAGAAGGATCTGTGGAGCATCGGGCCTAATGTGGGCAGGTACCGCCAGATATGCTTATTATTGGGGTTACACGGTGGTAACGGATGAAGACATGACTGCTGTTTGTTGCCGTGTCCTCGGTGGCGGCGCAGACGCTGGTTGTCGGTGGTGTGTGACTGCACTTTGATGTGTAAATGCTCACTGTGTACGTGCGTGAACAAAGAAGACCGCCATGTCTGCCCTGTGCTGCTGTTTCTACATTTCATGTGTTTCATCGGTCACATTTAACTCGGAAGATTTGTTTATTTCTCTCAAGTAACATAATGGGAAGGCGGCAGTCTCAGAGGAAGTCCACAGCGCCGCAGCACGCGCTCCCAAGTCAGGAAAACAACAGCGAGAAAGTGAGTGTGGATCGGATCACTGTATCACACACACGATTAGTCAAATGAGCTGGTGTTCCGGTTCTGTTTCATGTGATGGTACATTAACTAGTGACTGCTTTCATACAAGATACAGAGCTGCTGTTGTTTACATGTCGCTATTTTTCCCTTAATTCCACATAATGACACATTTCTGTGGCACAATAGCTACTATTTATATCAGACAAAATGTCAACAAGTCTCAATTTATTACCATGGTAATAACATTACCATGGTAATAACATTGCCATGACCATGTTTAAGTGATAAGTTGAACATAATGTGTCTGTAATTGCAGAGGCTGCAACAGAGAAGAAAGCACAAGTCTAACAACTCCTCAGCTAAACGCAATACTTCTCAACTCAGGTGAGGTCGCAGTTTGTGCAAAGTTTGTGTTGTTCGCTGCTGTCTCAGTGCTCAGATAAGAGCTTTGCTTTGCCTCGCAGCGCTCACAGATCCTCAGAGTCAAAGCCTCTTCCAGTGTCCCCCACAGAGGGCAGGATGGAGCCAAAGGTGCTGCCGGTCACTAAGCGCTCCAGCCACAGACAGCACAAGCATGCGGGGAGCAGAGAGGGCAAACACACAGCGGCCGTCTCCCACCACTGCATGTGTGGTTGCAGCACCGAGCAGCTGGAAAGACGCTCGCCAGAACTGGAGATCGGACGCCTGAGTCGCCATGGAGAAGATGACAGCGACACCGACTTGTCTGAGTCAGAGAGACTTCCTGTGTCAGCCTGCGGTCGTGTTCCTCCTCGGCTCGAGCTCAGGCCAGAGGTCATCGAGGCCGAGGACTGCTCCTCTCGCAGCCACAGATCCAATTTGCAGAGCCACGGAGGTTTTGACTTCCCAGACTTCCTCCCTCCACCTTTTAATTCGTGGAGCCTGAGTCAGCTGGCTGTTTTCTACAACGTGGAAGGCCGAGGTACCCCCCGGCCCAGGCCTGTGGGCCCTTTGGAAAGGTATCTGGAGAAGCTGCTGCAGCTGGAGTGGCGTCAGATCCAGACGGTCCAGGAGGAGAGCGGGAAGTCGGCAGTATCAGAAGTGATATCCAGCTGTCACAGGTCCCCTGCTGCCGCTACATCACGTCTCAGCTCTCCCAAGTGCATCCTCCAGTGTCAGCGTGCCTTCCCCCTCACTTTCCTCTCCTCCCTGGCTAGTCACTCCGCCCTCCTCTCCGGCTGCGCCTGCACTCTCTGCCGGATCCGCTGCTCCCGCTGTAGTGCGCCATGCTGTTGCTCGACTTACAGCCACAACCGTCAGTCCAGGCCGAGTGCTCCGCTAGAGCCCAAAATACTCCCGAAAAGGAGCTACAGCGAGAGCCGGGTGCACTCCTCAGACAGGCGCTCACAAGCCCAAAGGTTCAGCAGCCCTGTGCGGACCAACAGCCACCTGAGGAGAATGCAGGCATCAGGAAACATCCGCAACCCCGTCCAAGGTGCCGCCACCAGCCTTCAACACACTGCCAGCGACTGTAATGAGGTTGCCCGGAAGGGGGATGTGTGGGACTACAGGATGGGCGGGTTTCGGAGGAGGAGCGGCTCAGAGCAGAGGAGAGGCGGAGGAGACAGGAAACAGAACGGATGGGAGAAAAAACGGAGCGGCTCCGAGTGTAGAAAAGGCGGAGCTGAGAGGAGGAGAGCGGCTAACCTCAAAGAGCAGGAAATAAAACCTGACGCTGTCACTGCAATAATAGACAATTTACCAGGATCCAAATATTCTCCTATACAGAGGCCAAGCAGGCCCAAACAGGTGGAGTTTGTCACATAACAGCAGGCGTAGTGATGAATGTGTAATCTGAATGTTACACACTGTCATCACCTTAAAGTTTTGTTATGAATGTGCAGTCAGCAATACTGTTCATTTGTTAATGTGATGTTATTTCTCTGTGTGGGGGATGTTTACACAGATGTGGGAGAGAGCCGCTGGACATCCAAGTTTGAGAAGTTTGTGCTTTATTTAAAAGAGATGGCATCGTGTACTGTATGTGATCATATGATATGATTTACAGCAATTCAGGTTTATTAGTCTTTTGGATGAAGCAGCAAACATCACCAAAAGTTATTAAAGAATACCAAACAGTCTTGTGAAGATGGTGTATGATGCTGAGCGGGGAGAAAAGGTGAATACTGGACTCGCAGGCTTACTTGTAGGTGGTGAGCGTGTGATGTTTCCAGGAAACTGAGGGTGAGGGCGGGCAGGAGGACAGGAGGGTGAGAGCGGAGAAAAGTTTAGTTTCCGAGAGGAAGGTAGCGATGTAGTGAGAATTGAGCCGCAGGTCACTTAAGCAGTGTTGTGGTGGAGCAACTGAAAACAGTTAAATCAAGGTAAGTACAGAACAGACATAAAGTTACAAAGCAGCGAGGCTGGGTTACCTCCATGAGGTAGCTGATAAAACTGCAGAGAGTGCATGATTGCGCTGGCCTTAAGTATTGCCTCGCTGACTGGATGGCAGGTGGGCAGAACAGGTGAGGAACCAAGGCTCCGCCCACAAAACACCAGCGACTCAGTCAGATCATGACAGGGATTTCTTCTAATCTGGATCAGACTGAAGGATAAACTGATCAGATTGATCTATGAAAGGAAGTGACACAAATGTGTGTTCAGATCATTAAACATCAAATGCAAAAACACAAGTCTGGCCATAACGTGGGAACAGAATCAGATATTTTGAAGACGAGTCACTTTTGGTGCAACACAGAATCGGTAACGCCTATAGACTGTACAGAAAAGATGGAGCTAGCTTCCTCTGGATGTGGAAAGGCTTACAGTTGTATGGATGTTAAACGTTATTACCTTGCACAAAAGGTAACGTGCACAAATCATTTTTGTTCTTAGCATCAATTTGAATCAATCTAAATCAACATGCTTGGCTTGCTGCTGCAGTCTGCATACTGCGACATTTCCCCATATGAGGAAACATGTACCTCAAGGTGAAGTGGAGACAACAGTAAGAGCCTGCAACACTGAAAAGGAAGAGAGCAGAGGAAAGTCTGACTGATGAAAGAGATATTTGTGCCTGATGAGGAAGGCACATTTCCAAAGTGTTCCCTAAGATGTGATGATGGTTAAAAATAAGGTGAGCTGAAATACTTAAAAAACTTAGACTTAAAAACAACTTTTCCCACTGAGACAGTCGCTGTGGATTAAGGAAAAAAAGGAAGAAAGGTCAGCCTCTTGCTAGTTTTGTTGGCCGTGAGGTTGAAAAAAGTTATCTCAGGTCTCAAACTTTGTTTCATGAGTGGTTACTTAGAACTGAACTGGATAGGACTCGTGGCAAACTCTTCACAACGTTCAAGTGAGTTAAGAATGACACTGGCTGACATATGACCTGGCAATAAATATGGAAGAGCCTGGAATGACTGGAAGCAACCAGCTGTCAGCCTCAAAGTGATGCGAGATGAGCGAATCAATTCCAGTGTTCACACGGCTTGAATCAAGCCAAA